GTAGTAGTAGTTGGAGTAGTAGTAATAGTAGTAGTAGTAGTAGTAGTAGTAGTAGTAGTAGTTGTAGTAGTAGTGGTAGTAGTGGTAGTAGTAGTGGTAGTAGTAGTAGTAGTAGTAGTAGTAATACGTTAGCAGCAGCAGCAGCAGCAGCAGCATGCTCGTCTCAGCACCGGAAGTCTTACACGTCCGGTATTGGTGCGTTGGCGATTGTGGTTGTGGCTCTTACTGCTGCTACCGTGGGGCTTGTGGTGCCGGCGGCAGCGATGCTGGTTGTGAACCCGGCTGTGACTGTGGTTGTAGTTGCTCCAGGTTCCGTAAGCTGCTGACGCTGCTGCTGTTGTTGTTGTTGTTGCTGCTGCTTGTGCTGCTCTTGCTTAGTTGCTGGTGTCGTCTGTTGCTGGTGTTGCTGATGTGGCTGACTTTGCTAGTGCTACTTTCAATGTTGTGACTGTCGGCGAACTTGTTGATCTTTCGGTCTCTGCTGGCTCTTGTCGGAGATTCCTTGGGGCGGAGGGGTCGGGGGGTTGACAACCGCTCGTCAGCATGTTTTTGTTCTCATAGGTGTCGCCTCTGATGAAATCGTCCCTCCTTGTTATCGTAGGTCTCAAGAGTGTCACTGCTGTTCATCTGCTTGTGGTGGTAGACCAGATCCAATCTCGGTGTTTAAACGTGCGGGCCTATCACCTGTCGTTGCAATCCTGCCAAGATGCAGCTGGAGCAGAAGGTGTAACCGCAGGCACACCGCACGGTGAGGCCGTCGGTCCTGGCCACAGCCTTTTCACAGCCCGGCTGCGGACACCTCAACTTGCAGGATTAGAGTTCTTCCCATGCCATAGCAATGCTTCCCAGCCTCCCCAAACTAGTTTAGGACTTGACAAGACTTCCAGAGTTCAGCTTACACACTTGTTGAATGTGCTGGCCGCAGCCTTGCATCTAAGAGACATCAGAAGAAGTGAGAATGAATGGCTTCAAAGGCTTCATAGGAGAACGAGTACCACGAAGACGCCTACTTTCCGCCACTGATACTGGGACGACGATGTAGACTGATTGCAACAGCAAAAGCGTCATCAGCGAAACGAATGGTATGCTGGCGTCAGGATGCAGAGCCTCGGCGGAAGTGCAAAGCGACCACTGGCACACCCGACCTTTGGACAACCGAAGGAGACTCTCCAAATCCTGTGACCTCAGGCCCAACACACTCAGAACGCAAAGGAATCCCAAGCTACAGCCCAAGACCAAGGGCACCAGCAGATGTGGGCCGCAGCATCCACAGCCTGAACATTATGTCGAACGACTTCTGGCGTAGCAACTGATAGAACCGATGTCTGTACTCGCAGATAGAAGCTCAAGAGCTCGGCATCTCATGTAGTGAAGCTGACACTGGTCTGGCGTCAGCGTTATGTGTCATGTTTCCGTTTGTACATTCACTACATTGCAAGTGACGAAGAAGACATGATCGCAGTTTCATTCAACAAAGCCGCACTTGTCCTTCTTTTATTTGGGTTAGTGTTTAGTGTTTGATGAAGTTCAATTGAAAACTAGAGTCTTCTACTCGTTGGGCAGAACTAGCTACCGCATCTTGAACTTCATCAGCCACATATATTCTGGAGCAGACAGCAGTAGGTACAGCAGGTTGTTATAATACGGAGCGCAAGCGACGCAACTGTCATTTATTGACTCGGAAAGGTTCGACACCCAGCTTGCTGTGACAGGCGAGTGCGGTCGGCGCGGTGTGGACGATAAGAGGACACCAAGCAGGGGACGTGGCACTCCTTCCCTCCACCGCACGCAGCCTAAACCCTGACCACAGGAATAGGTTGGGGTTCAAAGTTCGGACTTGGCTGTCCACAGTCACAACTCAAGATCGCAATCAACACCTGCGAAACGGTCGAGCCCTAGCGATCCAACAGAGCAACAGATACTGATACCGACCTATGGCGACAACCGAACCTCATCAAAACGCCCCAGGTTCAAATCCCTAACCTAACCTAAACCTATTCCGGCGCCTGAAGCGCGGCGAGCCGAACAAACTTCTGCCGTGCAGCAGATCCCAGAATGCCTCTGTGAGCTTGCACCGCATCGGGTTTGCAGGTTTCGGGTCAAGGGTTCATGTTTAGGGCTTGGGCCAGAGGAAATAATATCGGCTCGCGAGTCTGATGCAGGACTGCTGTAATGGGAGATGCTCAAGTGGGAAAGCGAAGTACGAACAATCAGCTTCAAATGGCCATCATGAGTCGGGACAGACTGGGAATTGAACTTGTTAGGGCTTCTTGGAAAAAGGTGCAGAATTGTGTTCACTTGCACATTTGGGTGGATCATTCATGTAGGCTTTGTCATCTTCCTCGTCGCAGCCGATGCTCATGTCACAATCGTCTGCAGCAAAAATATTGTGACAACGTTGCGAGACTGGTATACGGTTTACCTGTTGCCCGCTTCCGGTCTTCAAGAAATGATCCCACAACTCGTGGCCTGGAAAGCAACGCCTCAGGATATTGAAGATATTTTCGGAAAGTACTCCTACGCCATGGACTCAGACAGCGCACAACTAGCTAGGTATAGATATCGATATTGGCCTCAGGGCCTACATGTTATTAACGGTTAACAGTCGTTAGAACCCTCCGCAATGATAGCCTTCTCCGGGTGTCTTTAAGGCCCTGCCGAAAATGAGAAACGAGGCACGTGACACCTGGTCCAACCTGCGAACCCCCCCCCCCCCCCCCCTCCCCCAAGAACGAAGGCCTTCAACGCACGCCTCGCCCAAAGGCAATCGGCACTCGGGCTCCTAGTAGGACATCGGCCGTGGTTGGGAAACCTACGAAGCCTCACACGTTGCCATACACGATACGAGTAGTACAAACTACACAGAGCGTGGTGTAATCTCGGCTTCAACGAGGTTATGTGCAATGTGTCCAATACGTGGACTGGCACACACACACACACACATGAGTGCCAACGACAACTCCGACTCAGCTCACGAATTAAGAACAGTTGCAGGGACAATATGCAAAGTATGTACCATGCTTGGCAGCCATGGAGTTACACACATCCCGATTTTCGCCCACTCGTACCTTGTGCTGTATATACCTGACTGGACAGACACAGCTTGTTGGTACATGTGATAGGATGTAAACATTAACACACTTGTAGCCATAAGTGTCATTGGCATGTATATGTTTTCACACCACCGCAGAGATTGAGAGTGTTGGTTGCCTGAGCATAGTACTATGCCAACCAAACACCACACACTCATGGAAACCGACGTACTGGCGGCACTTTGGCAATACGTAGCAGCATCCTTACTATTTGCGTCACTACCAAGAAAACTACTACACCTCCTGATGCGCTGGTAGTGTCTACGGCTGTTAACCAATGTAGTGGTACAGAGCTAATCATACAACAAACTTTCAGATACTATTCGCAGCCTTCGCAGCACAACTATGGACTGTGCTATCTGTGCTGGGCAGTACTCATAAGCCTGACCATGGCTAACCTTGATACTACAAGCAACCAAGACAACACTCCCATTGCTAATCGATCGCAGCTGTCCAAGTAATATTTACAATATGTTGTACAATAATACTACGAATAAGAGATCGCACAAGTTATGCTCCTGATGTCCACATATAGTCCTGACACAGCTCATGAACCCCTTAGTGCTAACCGTAGCACGATCACCAACCGGACTGACAGTACTGGTACCTATGAGGCAAGAACCGCTTTTATACGCCTCGTAGTCCTTTCTGTGCAAGTACATGCTAGTACGGCCAAACGCAGTCTATTGTCGTCCGGATCCGTACTTCCTTGTGCAGGTCACAAAACCAGGCTTCTCGTGTTTGTTGCTCCCTGGATCTTGGCGTTCGGTGTTCTTTGTTAGTCATTGCTAGCACCAACATTCCAGAACCGCGGGTCTGCAAATTTGCAATTTGGAGACGGCACTCTACACTGCGCACAAAGCCCCACAGGAAGAAGAGCAATCCCCTACATGAGCCCCGGAACATGTACAGAGTCAGGATCTGCGTCAGCTGGCAAATTGAGACAGATTAGGGCTCAAGGTTGCGGACCTTTTGCCAGCCCTGCTCGGTACAAGTGATCGCCAAGTGGCTGGGCAGACCATGCCTCTGACATTGCCAGCAGCTAGCAGACCCTCCAGATACCTCAGCCATGCTTTAGTCGCCTTCCAGTTGTCAAGTGCAGCTGCCGGTAAGCAATTTCACGCGATTAATTTAACCGTTGAAACTAGGCAACTCGAAAAGAAGCATCAACGGACAAAGCCAGCCTAGGCACTGCCGCAGGCATGCATCACCTAAGTCAGTGAAGCACTGCAGACTAGAACGCTCCATACCAGGATCAGAGACAAGCTTGAAGGCCAGACACAACACAAATGACCAAACCAAAAGGTACTAATGCCGGCCACGGTGACAAAAGGCATGTGACCCCTCACATGGCAGCAAGCGGCGCAAAGAGTCGCCACCAGGTTCTAGGCCTCTAAGCAAAGCTCTCTGCTCGTGAAAAACATTATCGGATCAGGGGCCTGCAACTTTAAATTGAATGCCCCAGTCCGTTGGGTCTAGATAGGCGATCACATAACTCGAATGACCCTCATGCAGGTCGGTAAGAGAAGTCAGGAAGACGCGAGTCCATGCAACCTGCAGCTTGCGCCTGCAAACCTAAGTGTAAACGCCAATCCCGACCACAAAAAGAAGACCCAGAGGTCAGCAAACATCCAGACCAAATGCAATAACTGAAACCCAGGATTCAGCATCGGCCTGCGAAGCAAATGCCACAGACCAACTCGGACGAGGTGGGCCCCTCGCGGATCCCGGCAGCGGTCTTTGCGGCTTTGGCATCGACCTGGAAGTCGGGCTCAGGGTATGTGATTGGGCAGATCAGGGTGCAGGCCGCGGCGTGCAAGAGTTGGTGATTGCAGCTTTTGGGCACTATGGTGTTACACATGATGACGACGACGATGCCGATGAAGATGAAGATGGAGATGATGATGATCATCATCATCGTCAACGCCACCATCGTTAACAATGTTGGCAGCAGTCATTACATCATTGTCAAGTATATTTGTCGGGATCTCAGCACCATCATCAGCAGCTTCCATCATTATCCCCATCAGCATCCTCATCCTCCCCGTCACCACCATTACCATGATAGCAACCAGTGATAGCGAGGGCGAGGAAATTATCGCAATTAGCATCAGCGCGTTTGTCCGCTTCCTTCCAACTGCCATTGACATTGTTAATGCAGCCATTTAATCCCTTCCCCTAATATTGAAGGCGGGGGGGCCCCCAATAGAAACTCGGAAAGTATGTTTATTATTAGAGGTATTTTCATCTCTGCTGCCACTTTTGAGGGGTCGAGCTCTTGCTCCTGCTCTGGCTCTTGCTCCCGCGCTGGCTTTTCTGCTTCTGCTGCGTCTCCTGCGCCTGCTCCTGCTGCTTTTGCTGTTGCTCCCGCTTTGCTCCTGTTCTTGCTCTTACTCCCGCTCCTGCTTTCGCGTTTCTCTTGTTTCTGCTCTTGCTGATGATCCCACATTTGCTTTTCCTCTTGCTCGAACTCCTGCTCTTGCTTTTGCTCTTACTGTGCTCTAAGGGTATTTGGAGCCTCGAAACCCTCCCCTCTATTTCAAAATAGGTTGTAAAGGGCAGTGATGATTTCGGGAGGATTCGCCCCAATGTGTTTTTATGATTACGGGGGTGTTTAATAAAAGCAGGAAGCGATTATCCTGCTGCGGCAGCTCCTATGCCTACTCCTGCTCCTCCTGCTACTACTCACTACTTGCACTACCACTCCTACCACTCCTACCACTACTACCAATACCATCACTACTTCTACCCCTAACACTACACTACTCCCACTCCTACTTACTCCTACCCTGCTACTCCTGCTCACCTGCTCCCTCTACTCTCCCCATGCCAGCTACTACTACTACTACTACTACTACTACTACTACTCCTCTACTACTACTACTACTACTACTACTACTACTACTTCTTCTACTACGACTCCTCCCCCTCCTCCTGCTGCTGCTAGTGCTCGTCCGTGCAGTAGTACTAGTAACTATTACCGCAAATCATAATTTTCATCACTACTGTTACCGCTACGGCTACTGCGACTGCAACCACTACTCCAACTACCACCACGACTACTAATGATTACCAACTGCTACTACTACTACTACTACTACTACTACTACTACTACTACTACTCACTACTACTACTACTACTACTACTACTGCTGCTGCTGCTGCTGCTGCTGCTGCTGCTGCTGCTGCTGCTGCTGCTGCTGCT